TGAGCAGGGGGCTGAACTAGGTGACCTTGTGAGGTCCCTTCCAGCCCTACTTTTCTGTGCTCCTCTGAACTTCCCTGGGGAGTCTGTTTTACTGCCTTGTGGTTCTACCTGCAAAGAAGGTCTTCCTGTATCTCATCAAAATCTACTTTCCTGCCATTTAAATCCACTGCTTCACATCCTGCTTTCTTTGGCAAGGGAGAACAGTTGTTCTCTTCTTTATGGCAGATATTTAATGACTGTTATGATGTCCTCCTTTAACTACCTTTTGTCCAAGCCAAATGGGGCTAGTTCTCTTAACCATGCACACGAAGCCCCTAAGGGACTGATATAAAGGCCTAGTCTGGTTATCAATATTACACAGGCCATAACATTTCCTCCGTCATAATTTGGATAAACACTTTCTTCAGCCTCTGCTGGATCAGTTCATCTATACACACGTGACACCATGATGGGGGTAGCGGCCTTTGAAAGGCAGAAGAGGTAGCTGGCAATGTCCATGTGGCCAGGAAAGGCAAATTAAAGGCAAAAGGAGTATTTGAAGCTTTCACTGGGAGAGAGAAAGATGGTCCCAGAGAGCACTTGAATGTTTGTGAGGATGTGAGAGATCTGCTCAGATCCCTTCTGACCCTACTAACTATGAAACTATGAAAGCCATAGGAAGCCCAGGCCGCAGTTGGTTTATGGGTCCGGAACAAGGAAACCAGTGGAGTGTGTGGGGGACACCTCTCTTGACCCAGATAGCTGGCTGTGGTCAGACATATCGATTTAGGAAGGATGAAAGGGTGACTGGGCACATGGCTCTCAAGGAAGTGCAAACCGATCATTTCCTTAGCTCACAAGGACTCTTAGGCAGGATGCATGCAGGGCTATCCCAGGCCTCGAGCGGGTGCCCCAGGACAGCGCCCGGCTCTTGATTCTGCTGGTTTGTTCTGCTTGCCCAGCTTCTAGCCCACTGGGGTCCTCATCCTTGGCTGGTGGTCCTGGGTGCTACTAATACAGCAGATAATGTAAAATGGTCTTTCTTCCCACTAGAGGATAGCGTCATGTAGTCAGGCCGCACACGAACAGGCAGATGCGACAGCCACTGCCAGCCCTCCTGCCTGTTTTCCTATTCTTGTAGAACAGTAGTCGCCAGCCTTTTCATGGTGAAGATCACTTTTTGGAACTAAAGGTCACCCCAAGATCTACTGTGCCGCCCCAGTGCCCCCCCCCCGCTACGCCAGCCCCATGCATCCCTGGACTGTGGGGTGGCCCAGACCCAACCAGCACTTCTGTGCCACGGCTGCCCTGAGCCGTGCCCGTCTGGCAGCCAGAGGAGCGTGATGTTGGGCCCCGGCCCGGCTGGGTCTGGAAGTCTCCACAGTCCAGGGGCACATGGTGGGGGGCTCCTGCCTTTGGGTGCAGCCCAGTGTAGGCCCTGGCGGCCCATGCCCTCCACCTTTCCCCCCCAGCCTGTGCCCAGGATGAGGTGGCTACTGCTGCAGGCTGCCCGCTGTGAGATGGCTGGAAACTTTTTTGGGGGGGTTAAAAATGGACAGTTCCTTGAAACAAAAAATGACTGGCAAAAAACATACGGAGTTTGACAAAAATGCTTGAGAGGAAGGTTGTCACACAAGGGATGTCCCTGAGAGTCAGACTGGGGACATCTAGGTACCCTGGCTCTCACCGTGGCAGAGAGTGAGGGCATATCTCACTTGATCGGCTCCCTACCCCCTCCTCCTTTCGCTTCCAGTGTTCAAAGGCCTAGAAAATCCAAATGCTGAAGTTGAGCCCCCAGCTGTTGCATTTAATACTCACCGATAGACCTATTCTCCATGACTGTGTCCACATGGCATTACACAGAGCAAGAGAGATTTGAACACCTGACCTGCTGGATACAAAACCGCATGGCTAGATACCACTCTGTCTTGTGCAATGATTAGGAAGTGTTTGATTTTTGATTCAGTGCAGAAGGAAAATCAGTTTTCCAATTGAATTTGGGGGTGCAGAACTACTCCCTAGCCAGTTGCAGCCCCATGTAAAGTCCCGGGAAGCGCACGGTGTGTTCATTAAGCACAGACTCTGGACTCAAGTGCTTCTAGCACAGGATCTGAACCTCTTGTGAGCTCTTAGCTCCCACTGCTTTCAGCGCTCAGCACTTTGCAGCAACAGGCCTGTAGCTGGGGAATACTGACAATCAGACACAGTTTTAGGAGTTAATTACTAGTGTTATTCCCCAAAGTGAGTATTTGCTCCGTTATGAAGTTGATTACTAGGTAGCTTTCAGTAACTCACTCTACTCCAAAGCCATCATTTACCATAAAGGGTTTTTTAATGAATTAATTTTAAGCAATTACCCATTAACTGACACAGACAGCACAGACAGGGCTAGTGCATGCTAGGATTCACACAGGTTTCTGCTGGAGCAAATGATGATGTAGGGCTCACTATTTATCCTCTTTCTCTGCAAGCTAAACTAGCCAGAGTTCTCTCTAACAGACTGCAAGGTAAGAGCGTACACACAAGCCATTAGTGTGCAATAGCTGATATGCTATAAATCTCCACCCTTGTTTACTTGGCTCTGACTTTTTTTTAATCCCCATATATGCAGATTGCAAATGCAAGCTCCCACCCTGGACTGCAGGAAGCAAAATGCCTCATTGATACAGACCCAGGCAGTTCCCTAGCCAGTGAATATAGTGCAAGCAGCATCTCCTTTAATAGCAAGGAAGGTTCAGGGGTCATGGCATGCCCTAGGACTTGCGATATCTGGCTTCCTATCCCAGCTTTGCCCTAGACTTCCTGGTGAACGTAGGCAACACAGTGCCTGATTACATCAGTGCCCTGACATGCAGTGAAATTTTCTGCCCTGAGCTAGGCACTCAGGTGCCCCAAACAATGCAGAGAGAAACTTGGATGCCTTAAGGGATCTTTAGCAGCCAGCCAAGCTGAGCAGGGAGCTCTCTAAGCTAGCTGGGAGTGAAAACCAGAGGAAAGGGCTATGATGTCTATTGGACATGGGGCAACACTGGGTGCCCCTACCCTTAGGATACTCGACTGTGACACTTCTCTTGGAGGTGGGTGCCCAAGCCAGGCAGGAATTATTCATAAAAGCCCGGCACCCCAGAATAGCTCACAGCCTGCAGGATAGCGTGTTCACCTGGCATGGGTGAGTTCAGGGTTGAACACATGTCCAAATCCAGATCGGTGCCCTAATCACTAGATTATATTTTGGGGGATGGCAGGGGGGGCAGGGATGAACCTCTATTGAAGCTCTTCCATTCAGCAGAGCCAGAGAGGGACTGACTGGGTCTGCCCAGGTTGGATACAGTACTTACCTGGGCTGTGAGAAATCTCAGCACCAAGCTCTTGCACCACAATGCGATCGTGGCCACTCGCAGCTAAAATGAAAACAATGTTGGGAGCTTGGGAAAGTGCCCAAGCCCAGAGCGGACTCTGAAGATGCCGGGCCTCAGGTGCCACTCGTATTTTCTCATCTGTGAGCAGCAATTCGATGCAGACCAAACCCATGTGGTTCCTTGCCGCATATGAAGCACTGCTCATTAACCCTGGAATTTCTGCTAATTAACCTCCCTATCCCCCCTGCCCAGTCAGGAGGAAGAGCAGCGCATAGGAGTGTAACACCGGAGATCCCTGCCTGCAAGAACCAACTGAGCCATCTGACATGACGGTCCATTGGAAAGGGCAGGAAGGCGTTTTATGTGGTTGGTTTTGCCTGGCACAGAAGACGTGTCTAAGCTCCCTGGTTTTGGTTGGGAGGGCGTGGAAGTGAAGGCTGCTGCCTCTGCAAGGCCCTGGCCTCGTGAAAGCCCCATGAGCCCCTGGGCTGCGAGAGTGTGAATGCCCTTTGGTTGGGTCCCGCAAAGGCCAAGTCAGGAGTTTTGCATGCTATGCCCTTAGGCAGCCCCAAGCTGAGGTGGGACCAGAGATGGACCTCATGGTAGAGAAGCCTATGGGAGTAGCACCTCTTCCCTGCTGTAGTGTGACTCGGTCTCTGGGACATGGGCTCTTGCCTAGAGCCCTTCCTGCTCCCTTCAAGTAGCAAATGTGTCTCCTCTTTGCTTGCCCCCAAACAACTGGAGAAGCAGGAACCCCCTTCACCCAACTGGAGCAAACTCTAGGGGTGAAAGCCTGGCCTCGGGGGGAGTTTGCCATTGACGTTAGTGGAGCTAAGATCACTCCTCTGGGAAGGAAGAGAGTTCCCTGGAGGGTTTTAGAAAGACACTTTGCCTGCATATAGGCACATGGAAGAGTATCCATGAAACTCAAACACCAGCATCTCAGTTCTTATTCTGTGCTCTTGCTTCAAAAATAAAAAAAACTGAGAAAAGCAGATGCTTAAGAGGAGCAAAAATCAATGGCAGCTGCCATGGAAAGGGCTTGACGTGCAGGCCAGCAAGGGCAGAATTATCCGGAGACAGCTTTCAAATTGCGCTCGGCCCAGCTCCCCTGGAGCGGAATTGATTATTGACAAGGTGTTTGGCTAATGTATGCGTTTGCACTGCACAAAAAGCATCGCGCTCTTCAGTACGAGCTGCTGAGCTTGTCTTCTGCTTAATGTCTGAGGCCTGAGGCCAGCGTCACAGCTGGGGTAAATTGCTTCATGCACCGAAGTCAACATCACTAGGCCAATTTACACCCACTGAGAACTGGGCTACAAGGTTAGCTTGCCCTCTGGAAACTCTCCTTGGAAAACCTCTGGGGGGTTGCTTTTACTTCTTCATTTTATGTATTATGCACCTGTGTATACCCAGATAAAACACATACGTACTACTATATACTCAGAAGTGGGTCAAAACTGAGATTTTCATAGGTGGCAGCTTACTTTTCTCTTTCAGTTTCTTTATTACTTGAAAAAAAGGAGCCAGCCTGATTTTTTCAGGGTCCAAGTCTTGTTCTTAGCCTTGGTAGCTGGGGTGCAGGAGAGGACACCTTCTAAGAGGCTGGAGACTGAGATACTACACACGTTATACTCACAGAGGCTGATGCTACTCACATCTTATACTCACAAAACAGGAAAAAAATGTGCCATTCATGGCTTTAGCTATGCATAAAAAAAGTGCCATTAGCTTTATAAAACATGAAACCAAGCAGTACATATATTCCCAATGAAAACCTTTAAATATAAAATACAGTGGTTTACAAATTAAAACATAATATAAATGTGTGGAACAAGCGAATAAGGAAATGCATCTGCAGGGAAGTATGAAAAGTCTTCTGTGCAGCTCCTTTCAAAGGCTGCAGGCTCGGCCCTGTTCATCCCGGGGAAGAGAGGAGTAACTGGCTGGTGCTAAGCCCCGGATGGTGATGGCAGAGGCAGTTGGTGCAGCAGGGGCAGCTGGAGGTTTGCTGCTGTGGGAAAGATGTCACTGCCTTTTTTTGGTGTCAGTATGCCCTCGCTGTGAAGCCGGACAGTGAAGGGTGCAGGGACAGCAGGAGAGGCATAGGAGGGTGAGGTTCCCCCCTAGCTCCATGCCAGCACCCCTCTCCTAAGGCAGCACCTAAGGCTCATGCCCCGCTTGCCTACCCAGCCGTACGCCTACTGTCTGGGAAAGAGGTCCCTCCAGATTAAACCATCTCCTCGATTTTCATCCAGCCACTTCCCACAAGGAAATATTGTGCTGACTCCAGTAGCTGAGTTGGTGATCTCCACTCGCTCCAGCAACCAGCCGCTGCTCGCCATGCCACTGTTGTCATGCTCAATCCGGACTTTTTTCAGCTCTCCCAAGTCCAGGGTTTCCAGGTAAAACCTATTGGTTCTGCCACGTTCAAAGAGGTTCCAGAGCTTGTTTTTGAGCGCCCGCTTGCCCGAATCTCCATTGACGCCAAAGACGATAACAAAGACGTTGGCATCGGTGCCGGCTCCTTTTTCAAACCCAGTTGTCACGATGACCTCGTATTTGACTGGCACCAAACTCCGGGTCTTGCTGGCGAAACTCTCTACGGTCTTGGCACACTCAAAGACTCTGTAGTCGCTCTTCTTGTGACGCAGCGGGATTTTTGCATTGCACCTGAAGAAGAACCTGCCCCAGGGAAGATAAGAGCATGTTAACAGCGCAAGTGTTGGCACTGCTCAGCAAGTGCTCAGATAGTAGGGGAATGGGAGTTAATAATCTGCTTCATAGTAATGATGTCCTTGCAATACTGCCCCACCCTGCAACTGGAACAAAAGGAAGCTTTCCCTGCTGGGTCCTAAGCCAAAGGTCTCTGAATCTCCACAAACAGCTGTGCTGCAGGACATTAGCTAGAGGAAGTAGCCAATTAGCTAGTTCAACATACTTACACCCCATGAAAAACAAGCTCAAGTCACAGCTGGATCAACTCCGCTCTTTCGCCTGCCAGCTCTTCAGCTCCCCCCTGAGTTGCAACCTTACTGAGCAATACTTTTAATATCCTAAGCTGAGCCAAGAGCGGCTTTTGCTTGTGCCACGTAGTATCAATCCTTACACTTCTCTGACGGTCAGCAGTTCTGTGACATCTGAATCCCCCCCAGACAGTAACAAACCCATGCATGGCTCTGGCACACCAGCTACACACTCTGATTTTACTTGCATTTTTTATGGGCTTTTTAGGATGCTGTGCCTTTATTCCTAATGGCGTTTTAGGTGTAAGCAATTCTGGCTGAATAGAAGACCCAATGCTTTGCTGAACATTATTTTCAACAAGCAGCTAAAACACTTGGCCTTGCCAGGAGAGGATGGAAATTGCTTCTTCCTTTTTTAAGCAGCACTCGGAGATTTGCTGTCTCTTACACGTAGCATCACACTGGAAGGGAGTTGGGGGGGCTTCCTGCCTCAACAGGTCTCAAGGCTTAAACCCCTCTGCTGAGGCAGCTGCATGCTCAGTGAAGCAAGGGACCTCCAGAGACCTGGGGGCACAACACCGTGTCGTTCTGTGTCTGGAGAAGCAAAGACTGAGGGTGGGTTTGATAACAGCCTTCAAAGCCCTGAAGGGCAATTATAGGGGGGATGGAGATAAACTTCCTTTGTGGCTGGCTGGAGGGGCCAGGACTGGGAGCAATGACTTCAGACTGCAGCAATGGAAATTTAGGCTGAGATTAGGAAGAAGTTTCTGATGCTGAGGAAGCATTGGAGGCAGCTACCTAGAGAGCTTGTGAACTCTTCATTCCTGGCAATTTTCAAGAGCAGGTTAGACAGACACTTGGCTGGAACGGTTTAGTCAGGGATGATCCTGGCTTGAGCAGGAGACTGGACTAGATGACCTTGTGAGGTCCCTTCCAGCCCTACTTTCCTATGATCCTAAAGCCACCATAGCCCGCCTACCTGGGCAGTAGGGTCAAAGCTCTAATACCGTGCTGCTCCCTCTGCTCACAACAGCTCCTCTGGGCAGAGGCCTTGGGCCAAAGTCAACCCTGGTGTCAGCAGGGCCCACCAAAGTCATTTTGAAATCATGCTTTCATAAACTTTAAGGCCAGAAGGAACAGTTTTGATCACGCAACCTGGCCTCCTGCCTACAAGAGGCCACAGGACCTCAACCAGCAGCTCCTGTACAAAGCTCTTGACCATGAATCCTGCATGCCCCCGGAAGCTGGGGGGGCATGGTGAGCTCCCGCAGTCAGGGGTGGCGGTGGGGGGTAGCAAGCACTGACCAGAGGTCAGCGACCACATGCAGATGCCATGGGCAGCATTGGCAGCAGCCAGCAGCAAGCGGCAAATGCCCACCGGCAGTGTCGGCAGCATTTTTTGCAGGGGGTGCACCGCCAAGCTCAGCAGGTGCACATGCAGGTGCACCCCCTATGCATTGCCAATGATCTTGACTTCTGTTTGAGCTATAGCATCTCTTTCAAAAGATCATCTAATGAGCTGAATGACAGAGAAGCTGACCTCCTCCAGGTCATGCCAAAGGTGAATTTGGGCCCTTTCTCATCTCATTTGTCTACAAAAGAGTCTGAACCCTGGCAGAACTAAATGGCTGAGATCAAACAGCATGGCAGGGGAGGCTGCTCCCTGCCCCTGAGGACTTCAATGAATCCTGAGGTTAGGTTTGTCAAAGCTGCGCTGTTGCACATGCCATTGCATATCATGTCGAAATTCATCAATTATTGCCATTACCGGGGAAAGGAAGAAAGGAGGAAGAAGTTAGGGAGACCAGGAAATGAGAGGCGATGGGGAGCCCCTGTTTTCCTCCCTTAACACGCCCAGACCATTGTGAGAAGACAAATAATGGAGAAAGTACTGAAATGAGATATACCAGATGCTGAGAAACCTCCCCCCCCCC